ATAGGGTTGATTGTGTTGGAACAATAGAAAGATAATTAGTTTTTTTTTAAAAGACACCTCTTGAATAAATATTCAAAATAACAAAAGATGATAATAATCCTATATCTAGGATCACCTATTTATAATAGCTAAGATAAATCCTAATCAAATAGTAATCCTAATCCTAAATTCATTATCATCCTCAAGATCTTGAATCTCAAGGGGGTTGTGGTCACCTTCCGAATTCTCCATTCGGGCTTCCACTGGTTCCTGACGCTACAAGGCTTGCACAGCCCGGGTCAAGTCATCAATCATTCTCTGCATCTCTGCCAACTCAGCTTGTTGGGGCTGATTGCCTCTAATTCGTCCTCTACCTCGGCCAACCATAGTTTCCTAACTAAGAAAATAGTAGGATCGTTTGCTCTGATACCACTTGATGTAGTCAAAAGGTTTAGGGCAATTAGACTCAACAATTAGGCTAGAATAGGGTTGATTGTGTTGGAACAATAGAAAGATAATTAGGTTTTTTTTAAAAGAAACCTCTTGAATAAATATTCAAAATAACAAAAGATGATAATAATTCTATATCTAGGATCACCTATTTATAATAGCTAAGATAAATCCTAATCAAATAGTAATCCTAATCCTAAATAAAGACTTAAAGTACTAAATTCTAATAAAGATAGAAAAAAAATTTCAAACTAAATAAAATAAAGAAAATAAAATCCTAAGCTAACGAAAATACTAAATAAAATAAAATTCTTGATGCGCCTGCATCATAATCAGAAGGGATGGAACCATGCATGGACACTCCTTTGCATCAGTGTCAGGGCTTGTTTGTTCTTTGACTTCTTTGTACACTATTTGTAATTCCTTTTGTTGGTTGTCAAAGATTTGGATGGATACTTTGATATGCAATGTTTTATTAGCCAAAATTTTAATAGCTCTACAGGATATGATGCAATGTAAAATTAGTGACCAATTGCAAGATGAAACAATATAGTAAAGCCTGCTACCTTGAAATAAATCTAAACATCAAAAGGTTTGCTGCCTAGAGATAAAAGGGGCTTTCAGTTAGTGCATGCCTTTTAGAAGGTTAAGATTGGTGCTTGCATGCAGCTTGGAACTGGGTGCTTGTCTATGTTTGACACATTTAGTGAGCTATGCTTAACATGATTGCCATGATTTATTTGGGCTCGTGAAAAGCTTGTTTATGAGCATGTCCCACTTGAATTAATGTCAATCTTTTCCTCGGAATGAGCAATCCGTCTTCTTCCTAGTGTCAGGAGCATGTCTCATTGCACCTGGCATCTTATATGCTTATAGTGTCACAAAGTAGGCTTCCCTCCGCTATTCACTTGGTCTCATGTGGTGCCTTGGAAAATTAGTTTTGTATACAAATTAGAAATTTCAGAAATTCAAGAATGACATGTTGAGTTTGAGTCTTAAGCTTGACAGGCTGGTGTCGAACAAGCTATCCGATCTAAACTTAAGTCTTCCATTTCAGGTGAAGATTGGTTAAATTTGTCCATTCCAGACATAAACATGTGTTTGTATCAGTACAGTTTCTCATCGCTCTGGCTGCTATTGATTTGTAGATAACTATGCTAGTTTGATGGTGAAGGGTTAGATTTTGTTGCCATCTTTTGGTTGGATACGTAATTGTCAGCAGAAAGATTTAGTTAGCTCCAAAATTTTCTGTCAATAATTATGAGGCTCTATATTGCTCCTCTCATGCCTTAGGTCATTTTGGTATTCAATTTTATAACAGATATGTAAAATTTGTGTGTTGTGCATTTCTTTTTCAGTTGTGTGTTTGTCTCTTTGTTTCCATTCATTTTGTTTTGTGTTTAAAACACTGGTTTAGTGTTGGTTTCTGACTCATATTTTACAATTTTCTTAAACAGGCTAATTTGCATCTAAAAATTGCTCGCTGTTACTTATCTTTGAAAGAAAGAGTTCAAGCTATCAAATTCTTTTACAAAGGTAAGGTGGAGCCATAATTAGAAGAAAACAACTTTAGGCTATACTACTTTGCCTAAGAAATAGATAAAATCCATTTAGCTAGTGTAGTCTAAGGCAGAAGGTGTGCTAAAGGCGCTAGGACAAGGCACAACATGGCTGAAATTGAAGAACTAACTAGCTGGCACATAAATTGAACTAAAATTGACCCTGACTTGATCTGTGTGAAACTCGACTTGACTGAACATGGACTGACTAAATGGAAAAAAGGTGACAACTTGAAAGCTAAAGTGACCAAAAATTGAAGAGACGTGAGACCTGAATAACCTGATAAGAGATCTAAAAAGCTAAACTATAAAACTTTTATTAAGGATATAAAATTTTGCATTTTATTTAAAATCTTGGATTCAAAAAGATATTTTGTAAATGATTAATTAAAAGATAATAGATGATAATTTTTCAATTAGAGGTGGTGAAAGTTGATTAAGCTGATCTGACTTGAACTATTTTATTAGGAGCTGCAAGCATTTTTGAGGTTATCATCTTTAGATTCTTAGTGCAACTCTTTCTTGAACGAAAATTTGTCTATGTAATTTTGCTTAAGATTTAAAAATTCTGTGGAAACTGGGTTTTTGTAATTTTTTAATATGAAAACTTTATGCATGTCTGATGGAGCTTCCCACTGAAAAATCTTTTCAATAGTAAGTTCTTTTCTTCACTTTCAATTTTCATTTTGGAAAGTTGGCTGATAATGGATATGATTCAGCACTCGACCAGATTGAGGATGATGTTGATGCTCGTTTAGATTTGGCTTCCCTTCTTGTTGAAGATGCTAAAGAAGATGAAGCAATTTCTTTGCTGTCTTCTCCAATAAACTTAGGTACCTGTAATCTCATAATTTTGTTTCTTATTAATATACATGTAGAACAAGCATAACAGTCTTTTCCTTAATTTGTGGCTTTAGATCCCCAGAATATTGACCAGAATCCTGATAAATCTAAACCATGGTGGCTTGATGGGAAAATAAAATTGAAGCTCTGTCACATTTATAGAGCTAAGGGGATGCTTGAGAAATTTGTCGACACAATTCTCCCTTTGGTTCGTGAGTCACTTTATGTAGAGTCTCTTCAGCTGAAGGTAACATTAAGAGTCTTCAGTGCCATTTAGGTTATTATCTATATGATCTCTCTCTCTCTCTCTCTCAAGTTTGAGGCAGAGAAGCACAAGACCTCTAATCCTGAATCAACAAATTTTTATCTGCAAGTAGTAAACTTGACTTAATGTTCACATACAAAATTATCCTGGTTCACTTTTGCACTTGGCTCGAACGTGGCAATAATTGTTGGATGTTTTCTAAGTTTTTCCATTTTATTGGAGGTCAGAACTCCATATCCATGTCCATTGCATGTGTCAGATACAGGTGCTTGAAGAAAATGAAGAGTCAAGAGTAACATATAGTACAGACTTACTGTCTATATGTATTTCCTGTTCAAAATTTTGAACTTTCTAGAATATCTGTTCATTTGGGCTACACTGGTACTTCTTTGATAGTATAATGCACTTCACTGAGTTATATGGCACAATTTAGAGCTGACAATATATAGATAGTTATGGGTTAGCATGTCGAATGTTGTTCCTTCTACAGAAGCATCATTGTTGGTATCGCATGTGTAATATGTTGAGCTCAACATGTAAGCTACTGGAGCTTAGTTATCTGGGACGCAGGAAGTGCTTTAACAAAAATTCGTATTTGTTATGCTTCCAAATAAAGCCAGATGCTAAAATTTTATGAGTTAATGGCTGTTCTGGGTTCAGATTAAGGTGAAGAAAAGGCTACGAGATAGTGTTCTATTTGAAAGAGTTAAAAAAGTTGATGATCAGCAAACTGATGGTGTATTTTGTGGGTCAAGGCCAATAGTAACTCCAGCAGATAGGTAAGTGGTAATCTTTCTCCCAATTGATGTATTTTAAGATTCCTGGTGTGCATGTTTTTTTTTTTCTATTATTTGTAATTTTGTGTTTGTTTATGTGAATTGTTGGCAATCGTGGAAATTTTGTTTTCTCCTTTTTCTTTTTTAAATAGCACATTAGCTTTACAAATTTTGATACCTCTTTTTTACCCCATGAAATTGAGTGAAAGAGACATGGTTTTTGATGTTTGATGGAAGTCTTTAATTTTCATTCAAATGTAAATTCTCTGAAAACAGATCACAAAGCACTTGAAATGATTCAAAAGTCCATTTTACAGAACAAAAGATTCAAAAGATTTTTTTTTTTTTTGGGTCATAGATTCATAAGAGTTCAAAACAATGATTTATACTGTCTTTAGTAGATCTAATGACTTCAAAATGCTCTTCATATGGCTTAAAACTACTAAAATCTCATAAGAGATTCAATATTTTGTTTCACTTGGAAACATACTTCCTAGAATGCTAGTAGATAAATATGAGTGTTTTAGGATGATTGAAACAACTTGGGGTAGAAATAGAAAGTAATCTAAATATCTAGATTCAAATTGGACCAATAGATGAGTTCATTGGAAATGCTCTAAATGCTAAAAACCATGCATAAAACACTTTAAAGGGAACTAAAATGATATGGTTCACCAATAACTATGATTTTTTGATCATTTTGGCAAAGGCTACAGTCTGTATGTGAATGGCAACTGGTAAGTGGTATTTGGTAGAATTGATCTAGTCTGGGCCAAATTCTCACATATCATATTTAGCATAAATTTACTATTTTCTGATCAACGCTTAGGCATTTCCTATCTTTTCCCTGGCAGACTTAAATTTACTATGTTCTGATCAATGCTTTAAGAATAGGATGAAAGCATCCAGAGCAAGGAAGCTGCTGCAAAGGAAAGCTGCGTTGAAGGAAGAAAAAAAAGCTGCAGCGATAGCTGCAGGACTCGATTGGCAAAGTGATGATGCAAATGACAAATCTGAGGTAACCCTAATTTATATAGTTAATTTGGATGGAGTTGATTTTTTCATTTGAAAAGCACTTAAGTTTTTTTTGAAATGATGAGATTGTGTGATTTTGGTCTGATGTATTGGTACATACATTGTGGCTTGCAGCAAGAACCTGTTAAAGAGCCTCCTTTGCATAATCTTCTAAGGGATGAGGAGCATCAATACCTTATCATAGATGTTAGTACATTTTATTTGTAATCATCCTTTCTTTCATTTCTTTATTTATTTTTTATCTTTTTTGTAAGCTCCATAAGTTTTAACGGGCTTTCATTTCCCCTCTCAAGCTTATTATCATGCCGGGACTTATTTCAGTCATAACTTTTATCAAATATCCTTTTTTTTGTTTCCCTCTTGCATCTTTGCAATAAATTAAGTTCTTAAAAAGAATAAATAAAACTTAATAGTCATTGTTTGTGCTTATTAGTTGTGCAAGGCATTGGCATCATTGCAAAGGTATTACGAAGCATTGGAGATCATCAAACTCGCATTGAAATCGGGTCACAACATTTTGCCTGTTGAGAAGGAGGAGGAGCTTCGGTCACTTGGAGCACGTAATTCGTCTCCTTACCCAGTGTCCACTATTTTGTTCATTTTCTCACCAATTGTTTTGGTCAATGATTTTATTTGCTTCATTATTAAAGAAAATGATGTTGTCAGATTTTTCATGTATTGCTAAAGAGTATATTAATTCTTGCAGAAATGGCATATAACACTATGGATCCCAAGCATGGGTTTGACTGTGTGAAACACATTGTTCAGCAGCATCCATATAGTATTGCTGCTTGGAACTGCTATTACAAAGTAATTTCAAGGTATTGAATTTTAGTTGTTTATCTTCTATTTTATGACTTTTTACTAAGGAATAGGTTCTCCCTCTCTCTCTCCCGTGTTAGAAATAGCGATATCAGTAAATAGCTTGGTCTCTTCAGTTGACTATCATTATGCTTGCACTTTTTACTGGTTATGTTGTGATCTACTTGTATGACCATTATGTGTTTGGTATTGTGACTTATGGCAATTTTTTCACTTTATATGCAGATGTGGAATCTTTGGTTTGGAATAATAGAAAATAGGAATGGCAATAGTCTATCGTTGACAGTATCCATCTTTTTTACCTGTTTGGACCTGGGACCTGCCTTGCCTTGTCCCAAAAAAATTTATATTTTATATTTAATAATATATTCTCGTTTGTTATGTACTAAAATGTCTTAAAATATTACAAAAATACCATATTTATGTGTGTGTGTGTGCATGTGTATATGTTTGCATGTGCGTGTGCTCTCAAAGTTTAACATAACCATTGTCTGCTACCTTTCCCACCTACTTGGAAGTTTCTTCATTTTTCCTTTGAGCTTGAGCACAACTTGTAACTTTGGGGAACAAAACTTGGCTCAAGATTGACTAATCTTCTTTCACAATTTGCTCAGCTTAAGAAATGTATATAGATACTACTTGATCTTACAGTTAGTCTGGTTATTATATGGTTAGAACAAAATTGTACTTTATGTATTTATGCATAATATTTGAAATATATTTAAGAATAGAAAGTTCAATTAGGCTTAGAAGCCACTCGAGACAAGGTTTGGCTCAATTTACTACTCATGCTCTTCAACATAATGTCAAGTCAAATTCAAATATTTAACATATTGAGCTTGAGTACTTTAAGTCAATGACACTGTAATGCCCATCCAACTTTTAGTCACATTTTTTTTTCTAAATAAATCTTCAGCGGTAGTTTACATCACATTTTTTTTAATTACACTTTCAGCTCACTTGCAACCCCTGCTGTGCCAACACTCCATTTTTCTTCAATCACATGTGTTTGACATATATCTGATGCCTTAAACTGGGCTATAAGTGTGAGTATAACCATCCAAATAAAAGAGAAATTTGGAAAACATTGAATCATCATATGTTCATGCACCCATGTCCAATATTGAAAGTAGAGTTTAGAGCAACATTGGTTGCAATGTGTTTGGGGCGACATGTAGTCTTCGTAAAATTGAACTCGAACCATCATGAAATTCCTTTTGGAGTTTGGTACCTATTTAGTTGTAACTTTAATTCACTTCAGATCATGAGATGTTGAATCACGATTATGATCTTTTATAGCTTTTGGTATTCTTCATTGTTTTATTTTCATTATATAGAAAGTTAATTTGCCATGTTGACTTGCGCTGATGTCACTCTAACTAATAGCATGTTTGTCATTTTAATACTTATCCTTTCCAAGTTAATTTCTAGGTGTTAATTATTGGTTTACTTGTTCTATTTTAGACTGGGAAAAAGTTATTCCAAGCATTCTAAGTTTCTACGTTCTATGCGAGTCAAATACAAAGATTGTGTACCATCCATTGTCATCTCTGGTCATCAGTTTACTGTGGGTTGTCAACATCAAGATGCTGCTCGAGAATACCTAGAAGCTTATAGAGTTCTACCGGAAAATCCCTTAATTAATTTGTGTGTGGGTATGGTTTTCTCCCTTCGATGTTTTTATATTTTCATCATTTCAAGTTTTTTTCATTTAAATCATGTTTATTTTCCTTTTTAATTGTTTTACCTTGCAGGGACTGCCTTAATCAACTTAACCCTCGGATTTAGACTTCAAAACAAGCATCAGTGTCTTGCACAAGGTTTATCATTCCTCTATAACAATTTGCGGCTTTGTGGAAGTAGCCAGGTTGGTTTTCTTCTCATATTATGTCATAATTTTCTCTATTGTGCTTATCATTCTTTAATAAGAGAGAGAAAGAGTATGAACATATATAAAGATGGCATTCCCCTCTAAAGTAATATTGTATAGAAGACAACCTTAAATGTAGTAATAATATATTTGTCATTTTAAACTTTAGAGTGATTATATCAATAGTAAATTTCACCTACACCTCTTGTGGTTTTAACTTTTCTTACATAGCATTCATGATTTTTTTTTCCTCAATTAACATCCCATGGTTAATTTCCATTTCTAGAGGGGTTACACCATTAATTTTACCTAGTAAAATTATCAAAGTACTTTAAGTGGTCATTTGGCTTGAAGTTTTGGAATTTTACCATTGGAATAGGATTCTTCAGTATCTTACTATGGAATCAAATATGTATAGGGTTTTGGAATATTACCATTGGAATAGTTTAAATTTTTGGATCTTTGAAAATGTGAAAAAAGAACAAAAATAGAAGTTCTAATTCTAGAAAATAATTCTCCCCTTTTTCGTCTGAATTTTTTTAAAAATTCCACTTTGTGCTTCTGTATAATTTCCTTGCAGCATGAACATGCTAGTTAATTAGTTTGAATAAGAAAACTAAAATAACACAATCTTATTAAGCCAAGTTATAGGACATCTTATGATTTTATTAAATAACAAAATCTTATTTCATCAAGTCAAGTTGTAGGAGACCTTATGATTCATACTAAATCAAGTCAAGGTAAAGAACATCCTAGATTTACCTAATCTACATGGACATGCTTATACATATATATATATATATATATATATATATATATATATATATAAATGATGCAGATTAATCGTATTTCTCTATCAGGTACAATGTTGGGGATGGGGAATGTAATACTCGCCACCTCTCTAAACCTGATATTTTAGTGTATATGCATATTTTAAACAATATTTTTTCATATTTAGGTTATTATTTAACTTATATATTCTTAAATTTAATAAATATAACATAATGGGGAAAAGGTGGAAATCCTTGTACTTGAAAAGAAAGTCAGGAGATGATTTTTTAAGTGTAACTGGTCTGTGGCACTGCCCTACACTTGAAATGCTAGTATTAATGATAGTAAACTAGGTCCCATGCTAGAGGAAGTCCTAGTTTTTTCGACCTTCATTGCTTAGAGAATTAAGCTGTTGGGTTGGGGTTGGCTGGCTTTGGCAGGAAAATGCTAGTGAAACAAATTGTCAAGGATGTTAGTCCATCTCTACTTGGCTGCAGGCTCGTTTCCAAACATTTGTATAGCTGCTTCTAACTTCAGCATTACAAAAAACCTAAATTTTCTTTTCGGTTTTTTTCTTCTTTTACATCAAAGGTGCAAATCTAAATTGTATGAATGTTTCTAGTTTAGGCCCTAGCTCATGCAGTACAGCAGTGTAGCGGGGATTGGAAAGGATCAGGCTTAGATTGGAATCCTGATAAAATCTTTACAAAGTTATGCGGTCTATCACACTGTAATTTGGCCATTGAAATGCATGTCAATAGAAGATTGCCTCTGGGGTGGCAATGGGTGACAAACTTGAATCTAACAATAAAGTTAGATGGTTGATCCTCAGCATCACATGAGCAATCTTTTAAAGTAAACTGTCGATATTCTGGACTGTGTTTTGCTTTATGTCGTGTGGTTTCTGTCAGTTTAAGAGACAAACATATACTACATAGCATATATCAACAGCAAAACTTGATGGAATCTAACAAGCATCCATGCAAATTTTTGGCATTCATTCGTTAAGTAAATCGTCACATTAATTGTGCACAAATTTTGTGTAGGAAGCATTGTACAACATTGCTCGGGCTTTCCATCATGTTGGACTTGTCACTTTGGCAGCCTCATATTACTGGAAGGTGCTTGCAATTAGCGAGAAAGATTATCCCATCCCAAAACTTCCCAATGAGAATTGGGATGTGGCGGAGAATCAGAATCATGGTTATTGTGATCTTCGGAGAGAAGCAGCTTTCAATTTGCATTTAATCTATAAAAGAAGTGGAGCATTGGATTTAGCTAGGCAGGTCTTGAGAGACCACTGCACTCTTGATTAATCTTGCTGTCTAAAGTTATGCACAGAACATGTTGATATATTTATTTGCCTATATGCAATTGTAAGGAATTTGTTCTTTTTCTTATCAATTTCTTTATTTTTGAAGTAAATATGACTCAGAGCAAAGGGAATTTATGCAATTCAGGCCAAAACTCACACTTGGAATGAACTTTTATTGATCAAAACTCTATTAATTGTCTTTAAATGGAATGGTAAAGATTAAATTTATTAAAATGGAGGTAGAGGGATTAAATCAGCTTAACTGAAATAATAGAAGAACCAATTCAACTTACATTCGCATAACTCATTTAAAATATGACGCACAGCATATTGGAGAAACAAATGTGAACACTTCCCTTTCTAAAAATATTCTATACAGATTAATTAGACAAAGAAATGGAAAGGAAGCTTATTACCAACTTTCATAAGTTTGCAGGAAAATAAAGTCAGAGATCTCTCTTCCTCCTAATAACCCAAGAGCAAAGGGAAGGCATTCATTTCCTTTGCTCCAGTCAAACATAAGGTTCCAACCGTAGAAGACACTCTCTTACAGAATCTAACTTATATCTGCTGCAGTTTTCCAACAAAGTATGATATCTAGAAACACAAATAAAACTAACACCATGTGAAGTGGACAGACATTCTTTTTCCCATGGAATCCTTAGCTCTAAGCAGTTGCATAAAGCCTAGGGATGTGAATGTCAAAAGAAGCATCAGCTTGGTGATACTTTGTTTAGCCAACATCCTGAGGACGCCAATGTCAAAAGAAGCATCTGATGATTTCTTTAGGCTTTAGTCCTGTTAAAAGGACTATTCAGTCGGAATCCTCACAGGAGTTCGTTGTGTCAGACACTTCTGATGACTCCTTTGCATCTTGAAAAATGGTATATACGATGCCATATGGAGTCACCACACTGTTGAACTTGATGGTCTTAGTTCATGCAAAATATCAAGCTACCAACTGAAGAAGTTTTCATGTATTACTTTAATGTCATGCCATGGATATGCTTTCATTGATTACCAGCCATCAGCAAATAAAACATAATATAAATGCAAGTACAACTTTTGGTCAATTTAGGAAAATGTAAGAAGCAGTTAGTCAAAACTTTATTAACGACTAAACATTATTAACTCCGGAATGTGGATGATTCTGACAAAACTAGATTTTTCAAGGTTAAAATATTAAATAACCCCTGAACTATCTAAGTTTTTTTAAAAAAAGCTCTTTTGCTTTTATAATACCCAAATAAGCCTCTCTTCTTTAGTTTTTACCTAGATAAGCCTTTATGTTGACAAAAAGATGTCACATACCGCACATGAGTTGAATGGTCGTTAGACTCGTTGTGAGCTAGCATCCTTCACACTTGTGGCAAATGACAGCTTTTTTGACATGGCAAAATTGGCTAACTGGGATAACCACGTCTAGGACAAAAAACTGTACCTCTAAGCCAATTTTGTCACGTTAAAAAAGTCATATCAGTATCCCCATGTGCAAACAGATGTCCACTACACATAGCCATTAATGTCACGGGAGACACATGACATCTTTCTGCCAACATAAAGACCTATATGGATACAAATTTTAGAATAAGGAGTTACGTGGGTACAATAGAAGAATAAAGGCTTATTTAGAATAGGGGCATATCTGAGTACAATAGCAGAATAAGAGCTTATTTAAAAAAGTGATAAAGTTCAAGGACTTATTTAGTATTTTAGCCATTTTTTAATGGTGACCTTCACAAGCATATTCTTGAGAAGTATTGAACATTATTTTGAAACCTCTTGTCCAATCTGTTCCAAATTGGTCTTAAACATGTTTCTGCATGTGTTTAACACCTCAGTATTGTTGAGATTTGAGAATAACTACAAACTAAAATCATGAGAAGCACATTTGATCACAAACACAGACATCATGAATGAACTATGAACTAATCAAATCAAAACTTATAGTGATCAAAATTCACCAAAACTGCATGTAAAGAAATGAATTGATGGCAACATTCATCAGACAGCTATTGGTACAAAACTGCGTGATTGGCTAAACTATTCAGTAATGTGTAAAAAAATTTACCAGATATTCCTCTGCTGCCCTCATGCTCTCTGGTTTCATTCCTTGTATTTCTAAACTCTCTTCCTTGATCCACACAATCCTGTTCTTCGCTGTTGTGTTGGAGAATTCTTGCATCTCCAACAGTTGGCTCAGAAGGCTGTACATCTTGTGTTTCTTCACAACTTTGGGACATTGGTTGAACAGATGATCCATTACTATTCTCTGGATGAGATGACTCCTGCTCGTTTTCAGCTTGAATAAGAGGCAATTTATCAGAAGCTTTAGGAGAAGCAAGGACAGAAAGACGGCAGAGTGGACAGGTGGTGTGGTTGGCAAGCCAATGATCAATACAGTCCATGTGAAATGTATGGCCACAAGCAGGAATCTGCTGAAGTTTATCCTCTGCTTGGTAGTCCCCAAGGCAAACTGAGCATCTACAATAATAAAGATGACACTGTACCAGTAAGAAGAAAATTTTGAAAGTAAAAAGCCGTACATATTTCTCATAGGAATCTCTTAATTTGTGAACTATACTAGCCAGAACACTGTTTTCCTAATCAGTTTTAGAAGATTCCAATAAGACAGCCATCAGTTCTATAGCATTTATGGCACTAATCTATGTCATTATGATTCATTGACTGAATAGAAGAAATGACTTTTACGATAACAAGGCACATGATCTAGCTAAACCAATTAGCTGGCTTTTGGAGAAAAGTGTTCTTCAAATATATAGAAGAGCACTTTTCACTGCATCAAGAGACTTGTTATGCATTAAATATCTGGGAATCATTTTTCCTGTTTCATTCTTTGGAGTTACAGCCATTCTCATTGGAAGTGTCTATCTATTTGGTTATTGTGCAGCTTACATGCACCCTTTATGAGAGAACAGAGATGAAATTTATTAGCAACTTTTATGTCAAGATTTTTCATCATGAAAATTTACCTTTTAATAATGATGATTGTTTTTCCCTTATTTTTTTACACAAGTGAATTATTCCTTACAAACTCAATATTTATTACTCTGTGCTTTACAGATTCATAGTGTTATCCTTCAGCAAAAGCCATCTATCTCACGAAAAATTTATAAATTTCTCTACTTTAAAATTAATATTTATGTGTTTTCCCCTTTTTAGTTTTTTAATAGATAATAAATTTTTAAAATCTTAATGTAATTTTTTACATAAGTTAATATTGTTAACGTGTCAAATCACATTCAATGCATGTGATACAAAAGCTAGAAAAGCGCTCAATACAAGTAAAACTTTCCCTCCTGACGAACGATTGTTGGAATCGTCATGTCCTCTCAATCATGGGAGACCATCTGCTTTAGAAAACTGTTGCACTAACAGAGCTCATGCAAAAGTTTTCAAGTAAATGGGTCAGATGGTATCCAACCATATAGAAACCTTGTTCAAGACAAGGTTAAGAACATAGAATCATCTCAAACACTTCATCCATTTCGTGTATTGTGCCCTGTTTAAAAAAATTCAGCACAAAACAAATGGTTTTTCCCCTCTTCTCCAATAACATGGGAACAATTTATGTAACTGAAAAATTATTATTAACAAGCAGCTAACTTACTATTTTGAGTCCACTTTATGTGGGAAGCCTTTACCGGACAAATAATTACAATTTACATATGGAATCTTCAATATATTACGGCAAAATTGATATTTAGGAGGAAAAAATCTCATATAAATGTGTTCGTGTGTCTATCTGTATATATATAATGTATGAAAATTATCCTATACAGCAGTAATGAGTTTTTAAAATCAATATCTATACACATTAAAAATAAAAAAAGCAACGCACATTTGCATCAAATTCAAGGAGAGTTTGAAGCAAGAATCACGAAGAATTAAAAAATGCTAACTCACTGTGTATCTCTGATAGAGAAGGTCTCCTTGTATATAATAATGGGAAGCATCTCTCTTACTTCTTTCTTGAGGCCCAATTCAGCCTGCCAAACCACAACTAACAAAGATGTGAACAAGTGAATACATGCAAATCATTATTAACTGGGAAAAACATAAACATTGAAAGAAAAGAAAAGCATAAAGAGGAAGAGAAGTTGTCATGGTCATACCATATAGAGGTCATTGTTGTTGTCTAAGGCGGTTCTCATCCTAAGAGATGACCAATCCACTCTCCGGCGGCGAAGATAGAACAAATAGAACATGAAGAGGAGAATAAAAGCAAAGAAAATTGGGACAGAGAAGATGAAAGCTTGATAAAGCTTAAGCTCCGCTGAAACAGCCGAAGAAGTTGTTGATGACGAGCAGCAACCTGCTTGCTTCGAACTGTTCTGAGACTCAGACATTTCCCGACTAGTCACCAGACCCAAATGATTTGCTCCTGCTTAACTCAAACACCCAACAGAAACAGATCCCATATAACAATATCTACTTGGAAAACAGATTTAGAGGGAAATTGTGGAAATATGTTGGTTTGGGTTTGAGTAGCTGAATCTTCTCACATGAAAGAAGACGGAAAATGGGTAATGAAGAATTGAATGCAGAGTTGGAGATTGGGTTTTATGCAAAGGAAAGTAAACCAATATATCTAAAGATTTAAGCTTAGATCAGCAAATCTGCATCAAGAAGAAGGAGAGCTTCGGAAGTCATCTTGGCACTATTTATAATAATGGAAGAGATTATATGTTTCAGACAGCTGGTAAACGGTAATACAGACTAACCGTAGTAGGTATAAATAAATAAAAGGATTAAGTATATTTTCCAATAGAATAAATTACATTTCCTTTGTCTCATTTTATTTAACTTTCACAATTTTTTTTTAAAAAAAAAGGTTTGATCCAAATGTATTTCATATTAAAAAAAATTTTTAATACAAAAAAATTATAAAATTATAGGAATTGTAAGAGAATAAAATATTTAAAAAGAAAAATAAAATATATATATGCTATTATAGCACATTCCATGGCTATACATAGAAGGTGGATTTATGACTGACTCCTAATAAAATGCTGTTATTTATTATACTTTAATACTATTAATGTTATATAAATACAATTTTGGATTTTTTGTATTTAATTTTTTATTTGTATTTTTATTTTATTTTTAGTGTCCCAATTTCATGCAAAAAAAAAAAAAAGAATTGTTTATGTCATTATGTTATCATGAAGATATTATGTAGTTTAGAGACAAAGTAAGTAGCTGTCAATGTCCATTTCCAAGTAATGCATGAAACTTAACGTATCAAATTTAAGGGCCTTTTTTTTTTAATTTTTGGTCAAACTTTATTATATTTTGCCTTTCTTATGAAATAAACATGTGAAAGTAGTGAAAGGGTTAAGGCAATTACGATATTTTGTTAATTTTAATGGATTAAAATCTGCTTCAAGTGCCAAGTAATACACTGGATAATATAAATTTATAATAATATAATGGGTTTTTAATTTAATTGTTATTAATTTGGGACAAACTCAAAATTATCACTTTGTTGGGCTCTCTAGACCCAATAGCGTATGGACCAAGTTCGGCCTAGCTAACAAAAGGTATAACTCAAGTTTGAAGGGGGAGGGATGAAGAACATGGCTCTATTCTCCGCTTTTAAAAACCTCAAACAAGCTTGCTTCAACCATTAGACGGTGAAATCTAATCATTTACATATCATTTCCTACATTCTGCCTCCAATCTTGCATTGAACCCTAAGTCTACAAGAAGAAAAACCCTAAAGCAAACAATTACCTTATAGCCAGGAACACAACTACAGAGAGGCCTGAAGGACTGGTTTCTTTTTCTTTTGTACTACACCAAGAGAAAATATGGAACGGATGCTGAATCTAAATTCCACTAATAATTATCAATATTGAACTTAAAAGTAACTAAACAAGTTGATGCAATAACACCCAAACTTTTACCTCATTGGTTGGTGCATGTTCTTCCTATTTAAAGAGTAAAATTCAAATCTCTTTCCCCCAAATCCAAAAAAAAAAAAAACACAAGTTGATGCAATATTGTATTTGGAAATCCAGGGACTGTACGCCCAGCAGTTAACCCAAATTAGGCAACTAATGAATGGAGTGGAAGGCATATAAAACATTCAATAATGCACATAATTGAAGGTTTTCCACCAGTTCCCTCTCATACCATACTTTTTCCATTGCCCACCCCTAAGTATTCCCGCTAATGGTTGGTCATTATTTGTACTATTTTCATATTCTTATCCAGATGCAGCCTCGGCAGCAATACTGAACACAACCAGGTCCATAAAGCACAATTTTTATACATGAAATCTTAGAGAAACTTATATACAAGTATTATTAGGTTAGAAACATGTAATGACAGTTGCCTGTCAATGTGCTCTGTGAAAGAAATATACAAATTACAACATTAATCAAACATCCCTCACCTTAAGCCTAACTTCTGAATGTGAATGAAGTGGTTTCTTTGGGCTCAAAGGAACACTGCTGAACTTGGGAACTAGAACCTTGAAAATGGGCAAAAAGAGTATGTAGAGTATGGCCAAAATAATGGGTGCCGCAACAAGCCATCCCAACAACTGCAGCAATTGATATAAGATGATTTTCAGTCATAATTCCAAATTGATGAGAGAAGCTTCAACTAATGTATAATTACACAAAGTCTACGCTGCAATTTATTATAAGTTCCATTACCGTAGGTGTAAGTAAATCATATTGCATCATAGAGGTTAAAAAGGGTCCTTTCCACCTCTAACTTTACTAATGTAAACAGCTTGGTGAAGGAAGAGAGCAGCTTATTTAACAAAGAATGGGAAACTGAATTATAATCTGGGATAGGTTGTGTGCGTTCATGGCTTTTGGACAGTTGAACATTGAAGCTGATGTCACAATGGAGATTAAGATTTGGCAAAAATGATAGCAGAATAGCATGGAGAATTACATCTCTGTGTTTAATGTAGAGTATGGAGAAGGAAATGACCAAAGATCATTTTAACGAAGGGAAAACTCCTAAGCACAAAATTACAATAGTGTCTAAATCAGAAGATTCTTTGCAATCTAGTTCCAATAGATTTAGCCTTTCTTCATCAGAGTTTTTTTTTTTTAGTTATAATTACTTTTGAGAGTGGTGAATGATGACTTTCCAAATCATAAAGCTTTGAGCTTTTTTTTTGTACAACCTGTGCATATTGGATAAACACTATGCGTTGTCTATTAATGGATCTTTACAATACGATGAATATCATCCTTATTTAATGGTGGGCAACCATTGACAGCATCCATGATTTGCAACCTCAACAACACACAACAAGCTAAGGCCATCAGCCAAGAAACAGCAGTAAACAGGGTAGTTTAAAGTTGAGTGTCAAAGTGCTGGACGATCAAGTTTAACGAACTTATTTATGTTCGGGGCTAGCTCAAGCTTAAGCTGAACCACGACAGTTGTGTGCTACTATAACCCAGTTATCATCCAACTAAAGTGGGGTTCCCTGGTGACCCTTGTATCACCAATTTCGAGCTTCTAAGACCAATTGCCTCCAATCACCAAATAAATAGATGAATAAATAAATGAAATTGGATACTTACAGCATGGGCAATACTAAGGAGGACTTCGTGGGAAGCATGGCCAGTCAAAACTTTCTTCAAAGCATCTGAAGTTAATGGAAAATGAGGTCCACCAGCTATGGCTTCACCGAAGCGCAGGAAGGGCACAACCAGACTATAGAGCAAGCCAACATTACACAGACTAAAACGAGTCAAAGTAGAATAGAGAGATGGATGTTGTTACTTGTAAAATGCTAACATTAGATATGCATAAGATAAGAAATCATTAGCAGCAATTCAATTCTTTCTTCTGCTTCCTTATGATCATCCCATTAATATGTTTTCGGATTAGACCAGATGGTGTCCTTATTTTTCTCACAAACGAAATGGTGATAAGAGAAGTACCTCAACTCAATTGGAGTAGCTATGAAGTTGGCAAGCATGACAGTAGGGGAATGGGAGAGAGATCCCAACAACGCTATAGCCATCCCACACAGTAACACTGTAACCCCTGCAATGTAACCAACATTTTCCGTCAATCAAATACTCTTCAGATCAAAATTTATCACTCAATCAAAAGAAGATAAGAAAGTAATACCACATATTGGAAATATTCCCAAAGTAATCCCCAAAGCTGCAGAGAAGGCCAATTGCTTCGGTTCGGCTCCCCTGAAATCCCAATCGAATTCTTTAAATCATTACCATTACAGAAAACAAAAACAGAAAAAGAACAGAAAAGAAAATCACTTGCGGAGGATTTGGAGAAGAGGATCCACGATCTTTTTGTTAAGCCAAAGCGTCATTGCCATTGAATGAAATTCCACAACTTCACCAATCAATCAAATTCTTTTCCTTCTGATCGAAGATAAGAGATGGGATTCTTTCCTTGGGTTGTGCAAATTTTGGTTTGCTGTCCGCTGCCTCTCTTCGATTGATTGGTGAGACTAAGCAATCTTCTTTCAATAAAATAACAACAAAGTGAAAACGTTTTCAGATTGAGAGCCTCAACTTTCAGTGTATTGTCTCTGTTTTTCCTTCAGTTGTGTTGGAAGTGGATGCACATTTCAACCTTCGACGGCGGATAATCGCCGGAGCCTATTCAGTGTTGGCCATTAATAAATAAATAACGCCTATCATATTAAGCCACGTCATCGTTTCATTAACGTGCCTTAATTTTCTAATTTATTGCACGATGTAGATAGCTTATTTATTTATTTATTTATTTTTCACCGTTAATGCACAAATCAATGATCAAAAGATTTAAATTAAATCAATTATTTTTAACTTTTAAATATTATTATGATTTATTATATATGATAAATTATAATTTATAAATAATAATCGATTAATTAAATATTTAACTTTATTAAATCATTTCAAATAGTCAAAATAGTAGATATTTGAATTCTTAATTTTTAATTAAGCATTAGCATCCAAATAATCAAATATTAAATCCGATTTGGCAAAGAATAAGATTTTCACGTAATTTGTTCAAAACTATGTGACAAATAGATATTGAGTTAATCACGTAATTTGTTCAAAACTGTCTGATAAATAGATATTGGGTTAATGCTTTTGATTAGCCGATTAACTAGTTGATGTTGGACTTCATTCTCCTTTTTATTGAGCACTTGATAAAAGTTCTCTGATCTCTTGTAAGCTTCAAAAATCTGGACATGCACATGCTCAATCCTTAACCTTGTTACCTTAATCCATTAAGCTAGACCTTTTATTTAATATTCTAGAGCAGTTTAATTGCTTAAAGATAGATTAACACTTGTTTAGTTCATAGTTTCAGGGTATTAATCAACTAACCCTCTCCATTAATCGATTAACCATGCTGACGCGGCCTTCCCACCTTTTCATCATGGATCTAATTTGTTTAAAGACTAACAATGTTATAAACATACATTTCTTGAACACACTTAAAGTTCACATATTACACAAACAAATGGGAATATGCTGTTATCATCCAAAGCACTCATTGATAAACAGTGTAGGGGCTAACATATTTAAATAACGTGTATGCATATTTACGTACCAAACCTCCCCTTAGGTATACGTAATGGGAGCAGGAGGAACCAAATAAGTTTCTCCATGTCTATTTGTATTACCAATGTTTAACACAATCTCCCTTTGTAACTTATCTCCATATTCTCCACCTTTTTCATATATAATAATAATAATAATGTCACATTTAAAACATGTTTTCTACTTTATCTTCTTCCTTTCTTTGTCACAATAACAATAGCAATGAGGAGAATTCATCAAAACCATATGCAAATAAGCATAGAGGAGAATCAACCTCAAATTGCCTTAAATTTAAACTGGGTAACTACCGATATTAGATTGCCTTAACCAGCAGATCAAATTTTGAGGTTGACATCTAAAAGAAAGCTAATCAACAAACAAGGCAGGTGCACTGTATAGATGCAAAGTGGTTGAATTACTACTTACTCTTATTCTATGGGACATGCCATCTAATCGAAACGGTCCCCAAAACCTTAAGCTACAAGTTTGGTGCCAAATCCCATGGTTGAAGTCCATATACAGATCAACCTCAAATTGTATTCATTCAACAATCTCATGCCAATCATAAAGTACATAGATGGACCCTCAAAACAGGTAAGAGAGTTGAAACCAATAAAACCAAGAATGATTAGTTTAGGGCATGTACAGATATGTCTTCCCATCATCAAAACATTTCTTTTAAAGCTCGATCCAACTGTTTCGTATATCAAATAAAATACTGAAAACAAAAGAATGGTCATCGTGTTAAAGAAAAACCTTCTTCAAGACATTGTGTTCTTGTATCTTGCATAGTACGTTGAAGTAAAGAGGGGTTGCTAGTAACAATAGCATCTGCACGCTCATGCAACATCCTCATCATCGAATCAGCATCATCAACTGTCCAGGCATATACCTTCTTCTCTCTCCTGTTCAATCCAACAGGTCAAGCAATGAATTGCAAGTGCATTCTGCATACACATCAGTTACACCAATACATCCAGTCACAGCTCAAAAAAGGTTTCATACCCATGCAGAATTTTAACAAGTCTTTCATCAATCAATGGATGGTATACACCAACCACCCTGGCCCCTTTCATTCTCAACAAGTTGGTTCTAGCCCCGGTACTGGGATCCACCATGACAATGTAGCCCACCTGTGAGTTCACCCACGAACCAATTAAATGCACATAAAGAACAGTCAGAAGAAAAATATCAACAAGTCCCACACATAGCCTTAGTTGAAATAGAAGATCATTACGGCAAAAGCACCTCCAAGAATTAGAATTGAGAATAAATGTTTTATAAAAAAACAAACTTAAAATCTTCCAAGACCAGAGTCAAGACATTATATAATTTTCACAAAAGAAGCCAAATAAGGACTACAATAAGCTTAAAATGGGTCAAGTTTAGCCAAAGGAAAAAGGTTGAGCCTATCTCCACCTCTGGTAGATGTGCTAATCAGTTTAATACTTTCATTCCATATCCAAATAAATGTGTGCATGCAATGTAGGTGTGTATATTCACAAAACACACATTACAATTTACAAAGAACTTAATTCCGTGTGTTTCATAGAAAATACTAGCTTTCAATTTCTTTTCTTTGAGGAAGAGAAAGCAGGCAAGATGAGGGAATTCTGCTGGAAAATTGTTTCAAATTTTAACCATATCAGTCCTTAATAACAGACCAAAGAGACTACAAGCTGGAAGAAAATTTGGTCACTCAATCAAATATCAAACCTGTTGGCTCAGTGAACCCAAAAGAAGACCTAATATGTCAAATGAACTTAATTGTAATACCTGATAAGTTGCTTAAAAAAATGAAATGATGAATACATTATGTATTATTGACTATGTTGGTCTAGATGTACTATTGACTACTGAAATCCAGTATTTTCTAGCAAAAACAAGAAGACTGCACACTGCGAAGGGATTTATAAGTAAATGGAACTTAAAACATTTCATACATGTGTCATAATGTATTTGTATAAGAAAAAAATTAATTTCAAATAAGAAAGAAACAAATTGGGATTGGCTTCACGTAAACTTTTGCCACATTTGGGCAGCAGATAGCAATCAAATTCATGTCCAAAGTATAGACTTTCAAAAGATATGTGGGTTGGTAAGTTGGGTTTCAAGCAAGTTGGAAGGATTGCTCAGGTCAAAGCAGCTTTCGCCACCTCCAAAGCACAAATATACCAAGTCATGTAGCATGTGACAATTATCCTTAAAAAATCAATATATACTCCACAAGTTTCCCTGAATAATTTAAGATAGTCATCCATGTGGACAGCACAATCATCCTTTTAACTTACTCAATAGTTTTTTGATAGAAAAAAAAAATAGAAAAGAGCTTACAACAGTCAAATTGCTTCTCACCTTAGCATCCGATGAGAGTTTGATTATGTCCCTTGCTAAACTATCACTTTTAGCCCAAATGATACAATTCTTACACTGCATCTTCTCAACCTGAAAAATTTTATGATGAAAACTTTTGAGCAACATAGCTTAGAATTAGAAAATCTATGCTGCATAAAACACTTCAAGCATTTTTATTTTTTTTTTAGTGTTAGCAATTCAAAATTCAAACAACAGAACACCATAAAAACTCCCAGAATGCTGGTTAGTCTGCCTAATGGCAGCTGCCACAAGTTTCACATGTTAACTATTCTCTGCATATGGCCTAGTTTCTGTCTCAATCTAAGCCTAGAAATTCAAACCTCTTCGCCATTATGAAGGTAATATATCGCTTATAAGCTCTAATAACTTCTGCACCTCAAATCGAAGTTGAGTTCAGTTTTTGACAAATATGTTATAAGAATGTCAAACAAAGTATGTAAAACTCCCATATCAGTTTAGGAATCAACATGCATGACAAGAGATCTCAAGAAGACAACAAATATGAGAAAACAACACAAAGAATTGAAACATCTCTGAGCTTGTACACCAAGACATGCTTCATGTGTTTTGGAATAAGTTTGTTTTAATCAACAAAAGAAAGTTGTCTAAGCTGCCAAGGCATCCAAATGGAAGAAATCTGAACTTAAGAACACTGAACTCATATACATTTATGAAAGAGTATGCTATGTGATGCAGATGAAAAGAGGCTACTTGAGGGATTAAACAATCTAGGATTTTATTTTATTTCTTTGTTATATTCCATGTGATGCAGGATGAAAAGAAGTCATATGAGAGGTATTAGTGAAGAGATTAAAACCTTTGATGGGAAACTAAAACACAAAATTACAGTGCTATTACGGAGGGGAGAAAAATCCAAGATAACATTATTAATGCTATAAAACCATTATAGCATCTAAAGCTTTTCATTTTCTAAAGCTCAAGAGGAAAGGGAGGGAGGGTGAATTGGCACTTCAAAATTTCTGTCATGATGAAACAATAGAGAGAAAAATTAAATAAATGAACTGTGTAATGCATCATTAACACATTTCTAGGTCAAAATCTATAAGAAACAAAGACAAGGGGAGGGGGGAGAAACTCACAGCAGAAAGAATATCCTTTGCAAGCCCCTTTTCATATGATGGAGGCTCCACCTTGGCATCTAGAATCACCTGCTGAACTGATCTTGATATCAACTTAACATCCAGATGAACCTTAATCAGATACTCATCATCCGTCTTTTGATAGAAGAAACAAACAATGATATACAGTAAATGAGATGAAACACTATCTTGAACATACCATCAAAGCATCTTCAATAGTAGGAATCTTTGAATTACCAGACTGATGAGAGACATCTAGTTCTTTTATCTACAACAGAAAACTTACAATCTCAATCAACATTACTCACAGATAGCTTTCCTACATGGGCTAGATATAAGCAGATCTTTTGTGATAAAACCAGAAGGTATTTCTCATAATCAAATTCAGAATGGTGTGTGTCAGAAAATAAACATATTAGCAAAACCAAACTGAAAAATCAAATCAGATATACAAATGAAAACATCTTAATTCCATATTTTATATCTTTTCTTTCTGGTGTGTGTCTATGTCTGTGTCTACATGTATGACTTAAATAAAGAATACTAGATTAAGTCCCATAAGTTATGCATGTAAATACAGATTCCTTAGAACTCAACAGAGCAGAAAAGAGAAAACCAATCAGCAATATTCTCACCTCTTTTGATCTTAAGTGCCCAACTTTAGAAGTGCTGTTACCAGATATCCGCTGCAAATCCCTGCCTGTGTAATGTAAAAATCAAGTCTCCAAACAGCTGTGGAATAAGCTTGTGATACAGAAAAGAGACAGTCAAATTATGGATTTAGTCCTTGTACTATGCCAAAATGTTGGACTTGGTCCCTAAATTTATTATTTGAACAAACTGAGTTCTTGTACTTCAAAAAATTGTTGATTCAAGGATGATAGTTAACTCCATCAAGCCAATTCCATTAAATATGATGTGACACATGACATAGATTTAAATGGCTGCATGGCAAGATTTAATCTGAGAAATGGCGAAATTTAACTCATGACACTTTAAGTAAAAACATCAAATAATTAATAAAAAAATTATTATTTTCTTTTCTTTCTTCTTTCCTTTTTTTTTTCTCTTTCTCTCACTCTGTTAGTAGTGCAACCACCCCCCATCTCTCCCCCATAACTCACTTCTATGGCAAGTCAACACCAGATCTCGCAGACCAGATCAGTGCCAACCAGCAAGATCAGGCATAGGCCGGCCTCAATGTTTCCTTTCCTGTTTTTTCCATTTCTTCTTTAGTTTTTCCTTTCCTTATGTCTCTCATCCATCTCTCTTTCTCTTGCATCATTGCTCCACATCCTGTGGCCGGCCTATGATCAGGACCCAAACCAGAACTCAACGAACTCCATTGCGTTTCATTGAACAAAGATCCCAACCCCAAACCCAGCCTCTCTCTGCATCCCTCCCTCTTTCTCTTTGCCCTCTCATTGCTACCCATTCTGAAATCACCAAATTTCCTTTCAAAACTTCCATAAACTCAGACATATACCACTGAAGTGTAGGATTAACACTGTGTTTGTAATTTTTTGTTTGAAATTTTGGTTAATTTGGGATGTATGAGTGGTTTTGTTGAGTTTGGTTGTTGCATTTTCTAGCATTTTGTTGATTTATTAGTTTGAAGAGAGACAAGGAAGGAGATTATAGCTCTACAAGTGCTTCCTTGAAATCCAAAAATTCATGCTTGGGGAAGTCAAACTTTAGTTGCATCCTGAATTTTCAATGTGATATTTGTTTTGGCTTTAGATGGTTTTACAGAGGAAAGAGTTGGTTACATTCATGTTTGAGACTGTGATGGTTGTTAGAGAGAGGCTTAAAGATGGAAGATTTGAAAGTAAATTTTGATTTAGCTGGCCAGTGCTTATTTGGCACCAGCCAAGTGAGGAGGGAGCTCTGCATGTGTGAGAGGAAGAGAAAAGAAAATTGAAAAAAAAAATTAATAATTTTTTTATTAAGTAATTAATATTTTTGCCTAAAGTGCCATGTGGCTAAATTTTCCATTTATCACCTTAAATCTTACCACATGGCCATTTAAATCCATATCATGCACCACATCATCATGGAATTGGCTTAAAGAGTTCAGCATTGTCCTTGAATCAACAATATTTTAGAGTACAAGGATTCAATTTGTCCAAATAATAGAACAGGTACTAAATCCAACATTTTGAAATTGTTGAGGAACTAAACCCATAATTTGACCAAAAGACCAGAGCTGGACTCTAACATGAGCAAGAAATATTGTTCTCAAGTGTTACAGATCAATTATTTAGCTATGATCTTAAGCCCTCCTAATACTACCCTCCCACAAAAAGCACTTTCAGCTTACTTAATCTTACTTAGGTTGTAAATGCTTTTTCTTAACAGTTTAAATCTTAAAAATCAACAAAGATGAAAGAAACAATTATCATTTTTGAGTAGACAAAAAGTACAAAGAGTAATCTACATTGTGGATATGGGAACAAATCAAGTAATCCAAAGCCATTAGTTTAAACTACCTACCAATTTGTAAATAACTAATAAATCAGAATCAATACTGCTCTAATTAATAACCCAAAACCATTTCTTATATGTATCCAATTGTAGCAAGTATTAAACTAATTATAAATATACCAAATTTATAAGAGAACAATATGATATAAATTGGTGGCATGAGAAGACAACCTATAGCTGACTTATCTGTATACATCAGCAATAAGACTAAAGGGCTGAGAGGATTCCATTCTTTTGCTTCATGCAAATATATATATATATATATATATAGTTTGAATAAGTCGAAGAATTGGAATCAATATTCCAAAACGTTCACTAATCTGTAATTGTTGCAGAAATTGAATGAGGATAAAGATCTTTACATTTTTATTATTTTTGGGCATTTAAATAAGTTATAGGCATGTTAACATCAAAAGTTGAATAGAAGTGGATTAAGAGGAATATGGAAATAAAGGAAATGATGTTGCTTATCATTTCAAATGTCAAAACTTCAGCACACTTTATGCATTGAATTATTGAAAGTATTTTTATACAATTCCTATTCATCAAGCAATTTTGGAGTTTCATATATATTACTATTATACCTGTTCAGGGAAGTAAAGTACACTTGAAAATGAGAAAGCCACATCCTTTCTGGGGGCAAAAGAGAACATCTTAATGAAGCAAAAGACGGTAAATCCTTATATGATTACAGGGCTAAAAATACCTGTCATGAAGTGCAAACAAAACTCCATCTGAAGAGCGAGAGACATCAATCTCAATGCAGTCTACTTGAGAACGAAGAGCAAACTGATATGCAGACATCTGTGTCAAAATATAAGAAAAAGTACAGATGATAAACAGATCAACCAACAACAATATTAGGCGCCCAAAAGAGTAATGAATAAGAATGCTCAATTTAAGGTCACTGTATTCTACACAAACACTTCATCATGCATTATAAGGATGTAACTTGTGCTAATTTAGCCTCAGCCAAGCTTTAGCTTAGGTTCAAGTTTTAAGGCACAAAATCAGAACTTGAAAAGAAACCAAAGGAACCTAAAACCGGGTCATGTAAACAACAAAACCATTACATCTCCAAAGATGTGTAAGCAATCAAAGTTAACAAGTAATGCTCGTTGTCTTAGGAAAGCAACACATAATAGCCAGGAAAAGCAACTACAGAAAGGAAGAGATGCCTACTGTGTTTGGGAAGGCATTAGTTGAGTCACCACCATGAGCACACACAAGGGGAGGATTGTTCAGCCAACCACACCTCCTTAATTGCATCTGCAGGAAATGTAAAAATAAAAATAAATAAGTACTAGTAAGTGAGGACCTGTATCTGTGATGAACATCCCATTTAACTAAGGAATAAATTAAACTGACCTAATTGGAATTAAAAAAGTAACCTTCAACTTAGAATATCAGAAACTATATGCTACTATTTACAAAAAGGTAATTAAAATCATTCAGCAGTATATCCAAAACAATTATATATAGTGAGCATCATCTTAAGTACACTAACTTTAGTAAAACGTTTCAAAACTGCCTTGAAATGCTCTTTAAGAAAATTTACAAAAAGTACAGACACACATATCAACTTCTTATTTCCCTTTGAGCCCTCCATGTTTCAGTTTTAGATGAAATACAGTTATTAAGTAAATCACTGCACATTTGAAAAGCGTACCCATTTGGCAGACAGACATTATTGCACACTACTTTCATTGGAGAAAACCAAGGTACTTTTATTCTCAAGGGAAAGTGCAACTTATAATGAGAAACTTTTACATCTTTTAATGAAAAACAAACATATTAAATTAGACAGGAGGTATACAAGAGAGCAAAGCGAGAGAGAAAGAACAAAAGAGGCTTAAACTAAAAAGGGAAAGCAGCAGTAATGCCTCAAATTTTACTACATCAGATAAGTCAAAAGGAATAAAAGGACACAGAAAATTTAGCAAAAGTATAAATTAAAAACAAGAAAAAAGAAAAACACTTGCTGAAACCTTGGCCTTTGAGTTAAGAACAGAATACTCCACTCCTTCAAATGCTCTACTATGTCTCTCACCCCACAAACACCAAAGTAAATACAGAGGCACCATTGTCCAAACAAAATGGTTCCTGCGTTTACTAGACACTCCTCTCCAACTAGCCAGAATACCAACCACTGTCTTGGCCATGTCCAAATTAAAGGAAAAAAAAAAGACCTTACTCTGAAGCAATTAGACATGTATATGTTCATATTTTTATTTTATAGCACAGAGGGAGTAGATTAAGAAATATCAAATCAAAGATACAACATGGAAACATTTTCAGACGCTTCAGTCACAAGCAATGACTCAATTCATTAATAAGACAGTCATAAAAGCATGAAAAAGAGTTTGAGAAGAAATTAACTACCTGTCCTGGGGACATAATAACAGATATTGCACACGGCAAACAAAAGTGAGATGAAAGCCACATTTAGATAACAACAGGTGACTAGGGATAAAGGCTAAATTGTATTAACAAGTATACGTGGTTCCACTGATAGGCAGAGCTTAGCAGACTCAGCTTAATTTTAAAATCACACATATTTGGCTTTCAGACAATCATAGACCAAGCAGACTACCATGACTATCTGAATATTTCATAAACAAGAGATACTGTAATTGCACTTTCCCTTTGTTTCTGCTATAAATTCTTGTTTGCTGTTTCCTGAAGCCCGGATCTTCCAAATATCACCACTTTATCAAGTTCTGGATTTTCAAGGCAGTAATTACTATCACCAGATATGTTATCGGGAGAAATTTCCTGGAGAGACTTACTATACGATGCAGTCAACAACTTACATGGATTTCTTTTTTTGTTTAAAACAATTTACATGGTGATAAACAAGTGAAATACAATTTTCAGTTCTTTTTTTTTCACTTTTATTAGTAAATAACACGCAAATATAACCAAATTATTTATAATTCTTCATTCAACACAACCTACAATCTTTTCACATGTCAAAAAAGGTCGTTGACAACATTAAAATCAAATTAAACGAAAATAATGAAAATTAAATGCAAGAAAGCCGCTTTGGTGGAGCAATTTGAACAGATGAATAATGGTTAGGAAACGATTTGTTTAGTTGATGTCACGTAATAAGGAAGCAAATAATCAAATTTAAAAACTGGAAAAGGAAATCAGATGGAAATAATTGACGGATAGCGCCTTGATAAATCAGGGCTAAACCATCGAATTCCAATGATTTGGATCTCTGATCACATGTTAAAGGCAAAGGGCAAGTCGTGACAATATCTGAAAAGAAGCTTGGCTGAGCCTTCCCATCAGTAGAAAAAACTAGTTACTTTGAGCAAAATAAAAACGGAACGAGCCATTGAGTTCCTGGGAAATAGTGGTTACCTGATGGAAACGGCGGAGCCTGAAGTGGAAGAAAATGGGAGGCAAAAGGGCGATGAAAGCAAGAAGAATAAGGGTGAAGCGAACAAGGCTTTTGTAGGAAGAAGAAAATCTAAAAAGAGAGGCGCGATTGCTGCGGCCAAGGCCATGGCCTTGGCCTTGGCCTTGCAGATGTTGCCTTCTTCCTAATTTACCATACATGGCCAGAGCCGTCTCTACTTCTTCACAACAAACACAGAATTACTTTTATCTATTGCTGTAGTAGGCCGTAGGTTGAGAGTTGAGAATGGGACACCAACTTCCCCCAGCCCAACTATTAGGAGAAAGAAAAGAAAAGAAGATATTAGGTGAGGCGGGGCGTGAGTAAAATCAGCCATGGACGATGTTTGTATGGCAAAGATGACCGTACGTGAGATGCAATCATAAAAAAATTAGAAAATAAAAGCATTAGTATTAAGCAAAAAAGCAATAACAAATTTAAAATGTTCAAAAAATTCAAAGAAATAATAATAATAATAATAACAAAAGACATCATTCTTGTCTATACATAAACATGTTAACAAAATTAACATACAAAAAAATTGAAATACAAAATTAAAAATTAACCTCCAGTTATTGATGTCACAAGAATAAGCTTTTCGATATAAAGGCATTTCAAAACTCTAGTAATTTCATTTAGATGATATGTATTTAGAAAATGCTGAGGTTAAGGACCCATATTCAACTTTCTTTTATTTATATATATATATGTATATATCATCTTCCCATTAAAGATGTAATTGAAACAAAAAAAAAGTAGACATGTCAAGATGTTTAACAAGAGGTTAGTGGACAATAGGTAATATGCGGACCATAACTGAATTTGGGTTAAGAACATTTTCCTGCTTGGTTCATATATTTTAATTAATAATATCAAAAAATCCATAAATCCTTCTTAAGAAAAGAAACAAAATACATGAATCATGGCGACAAGTCCTCTAAGAATGAGTATTATTTTCCATACATCACTATACATTCTATTTCTTTAATGTCAGCCCATCATAACTTAACAAATAAACCTTATGTTTATTTTAGGTCCAATGATTGTTATTCTCAAAATAAATGTGTACATAAAAATGAAAAAACACACAAATGAATAAGAGTTTCATTACAAATGATAAAAGTCCATACAACAAAAATCACATGATGGAACCAAGTTCCATTCGTGCTACATGATCTTTAAATTCATTAGTAGCATGCCTTTTGTTCAAGGATCTACAATCATCAATTTAGTGCTAACATGCTCAATGATCACTTTATTCTTCTTAACATGTTCCGTTATGGCTAAACACTTGATATTAATGTGTTTACTTCGATTACCACTTTTAGTGTTTTTAGTCAAGAAAACCATGGCTAAATTGTCACAATACATCCTTAATGGCTTAGAAATGTAATTCACAATTCTAAGCATAAATATGAAACTCTTCAACCACACACCATCAGAGGTAGCCTTAAAAGAAAAAACAAACTCAGCCTTCATGATAAAAGTAGTAGTTAAGGTTTGTTTTGCATTCTTCCAAGACATGACTTTGCCAGCAAACATAAAAACATATCTAGATGTTGATTTTCATGAATCAACACACCTAACGAAGTCCGAATCCAAGTAACCAACTACCTCCAGGTTGTTAGTTCGCCTATACATAAGCATGTAATCTTTGATCCCTTTAAGGTATCTTATCACCTTCTTTGCAGCTCTCTAGTGGTCCATACCTAGGTTACTCTAATATCTACCCAACATTCCAACAATAAATGCAATGTCAAGTCTTGTACAAACTTAAGCATACATTAAGCTTGCAATAGCAGAAGCATACCAAACGTTTTTCATTTGTTCCCTTTCAAGCTCATTTTTCAAGCATTGGTTCAAATTGAACCTGTTACCCTTCACAATGGTATACTCAGTGAACAATTTTTCATTCAAAACCTCTCTAAAACCTTATTGATATAGGTTTCTTGAGATAGACCTAAAATGCTTTGAGATTTGTCTTAATAGATTTTAACGCAAATGACATAAAATGCCTCACTCATATCTTTCAAATCAAAATTCTTAAAGAGAAATTGTTTCACCTAATATAACAACCTTTTATCATTAGCTGCAAGTAGTATATCATCCACATATAAAAATAAGGAAGCAGATTTTACTCCCACTAAACTTCTAATATATGTATTGATCCAATATGTTCTTTATAAAATCAAATGAAGAGATGACATCATGAAATTTTAAATACCATTGACGAGAGGTTTGTTTCAATCCATATATGGATTTCTTGAGCTTGCACACCAAATGCTCACCATCATTAGAGGAGAATCTTTTTGGTTGTTTCATATGAACCTGCTCCTCTATGTCCACATTGAGGAATGTTTTTTTCACATCCATTTGATGCAATTATAAGTCAAAATGAGCAACTAATGCCATAATGACCTAAAGGGAATCTTTCTTAGATATAAGAAAGAAGGTTTTCAAGCAATCAATCCCTTCCTTTTGAGTGAATCTCGTAACAACAAATCTTGTTTTATATCTGTCGATGTTGCCTAATGAATCCTTTTTTATTTTAAAAACCCATTTACATCCAATGGCTTTTACAACATTAGGCAACTCAATAAGATTTTAGACTTTGTTAAATGTCATAGAATTCATCTCATCTTTCATAGCATTGTACTACAATTCAGATTCTTTGTAACTCATGGCTTGTGAAAATGTTTCAGGATCATTTTTTGCTCCAACATTATAGTCAGTTTCTTATAGATACACAACATAAATACTAGGGATTCTTGATTTCTTCATCCTAGTTGATCTTTTTAATGTTGTATTAACATCATCTTGAGGACATGTTGCACAATTGGTTGCCTAACAATCTCTGACAATTGTTGAACAGCCGAATTTACTAGATTGTCATCAATAGCTTGTGGAACTTTAACGATTAGTTGTGCAACACTCATATGAATACGAAGGGTGTTAAGAATGACAATCAATCTGCCACTTGAAGTGGGAGTTTGAATATCATGATGATTCTTTTCAAAAATTAAGTTCTAAGATTGATCACTCTGATTAATTAAGTCATTTTAAAAAGCTTTACATTTTTAGATTCTACAATCCTAGTACTATGAGATGAACAATAAAATTGGTACCCTTTGGACCTTTCAGCATATCTAACAAAATACCCACTTATAGTCCTTGGGTCTAGTTTCTTTTCTTATGGATTATAAACTCTTACTTCAAATGGGCATCCCCAAATATGTATATGTCATAAACTTGGTTTCCGAGCTTTCCACAATTCAAATGGCATTTTGGAAATAACCTTGGTTGGAACTCAATTAATATATACTTTATCATTTTAAGAGTTTCAGTCCATAGGGATATAAAAAGCTTAAAGTTACTAAGTATACTCCGCACCATATCCATTAATGTTCAATTTTTTCTTTCTACTACACCATTTTGATCTAGAGATCCAAGCATGGTGTACTGGGCCACTATCCCATGCTCCTCAAGAAACTTTGTAAATGGACAAGGTGCTTATCCATCCTCAATGTTCTACCATAATATTCTCCACCTCTATCTTATCTCATGATCTTAATTTGCTTCTTGCATTGTCTCTCCACTTCAACTTTAAATACCTTAAAGGCATCTAATGCTTTATTCTTATTATGAAGCAAGTAAAGATACATATATCCTGAAAAACCATCTTTGAAAAAGATAAAGTATTTCTGACTATGCGAGTCTATATTTAGACTACAAATATTTGCATGTATGATCTCTAATATGTCCAAACTCTTCTTGACACCTTTTTTTGTCTTGTTAGTCTGTTTTCCCTTAATATAGTCCACATAAGCATCAAAATCAATAAAATCCAGAGTACTGAGTACTCTATCATTCACCAATCTTGTAATCCTCTCTATGGATATATATCATAATCTTCGGTGCCATAAAATAGAGGAATTTTCATTCATAACACATCATTTAATACCAGCATTATCATGAACATGTATTGCATTATAAAAGGCATTGTCTTGCAAATTAATTTGGAAAAGACATCAGACATTGTACCACTCCTAACAGGATCAAATTTATAAAAAAAATTAAATGATGTATTTGAAAAGTTAAAAGAATAGCCAAGCGGTGCAAGTTTTGAAACTAAAATCAAATTTCTAGAGAAACTTGGAATATAAAATGTTCTTTCCAAATTCAAAACAAAACCATAATCTAAAATTAATTTTCATGTTCCAATTGCCTCCACATGTGAATGCATCTTCTTTCCTAAATAGATGCATTGCTCACTATCCACTGGTTTCCTTTGGTTTAGAAAGCCTTGCAAGGTATACAAAATATGGATTATTGAACCAAAATCAATCCACCAAGTGTCGTGACAAGCATCAACCATATTAGATTCATAACAAACAAGTAAGATTCCTTCTTGGCCTTAGTTTGGATGGGTATTTTACCCATTACCTTTTGTTTGGCTTCCCATTTGTTCTTTCCTTGTGTTGCCATATCTGCACTTTCACCCAATTCTACAATTAGCTTGCTTTCCTCTTGAACACACATGGTTAGAAGTTCATTATTATCCTTCTCTGTGTTATAAGAGATTTTGAAAGCTTCATATTGATTTGGAAGAAAATTTAGAATGAAGTGTACACGGAAAGATTCAAACATCTCAACCTCAAGAGATTTGAGCTGAGTCGCAATGTCCTTAATTTGCATGATGTGCTCACGCACACCTTTAACACTGGTGAGCTTCATTGATGATAGCTTTGTCATTAGGGTGCTAGCTAAGGCCTTATTTGAAGAATTAATTGTTCATCAATAGCCTTTAGCAGTTCCTTGACATTATCACGCTCCCCTATTAAATCACGTATACTAGCAGAAATTTTTATCTTTATGAACATCATACTGATATGATTGGATCGCTTCAAAACTTGTCAATTAAAATTTTACTATACAAATATGCATATAGAATAAATAATATATAAGCAAGCAGAGTATTGATCTCACAGAGAATTGATCTAAAATTTTATTAAATACTCAAATTAGAACAATTTAGTTTTATTCAAATAATTAAAATTTGAATTCTAATTAAACTAAAAATTACTCAATTAAAACTAATTTAATTAAAAATTAAAGCAACAAAATAATTGGGTAAAAAATAAATCAAACAAGCCTAGGATTTTAGATTAAAACATATCATAATTGGATGTTTGCCATGGGAAAGGTGAGGCGAAAGCCATCCATTGACTAAAAAAGTCTATTTATAATAATTTTAATGCCTTCGAAAGCCTAGTTACTTGCTGTAAATGGTTATATAATCTCATAAATGATTTTAGTGTTGAATTATTTTCATTTTTGTTTAAAATAGAACATAATTGAATGTTTGCCTCAAGAAACATGAAGTAAAACCCATCCATTAAGCAAAAGAGTCCATTTATAGTCACTTATGTCTTCAAAAGCCTTGTTACTTGTTTTAAGTGGTTTTATAACTTTATCTATGATTTTAAGTTGAATTTTTTTTATTTGTGGTTAAATGGTAACATGCAAGTATGTTTAAGCCTAATAAAAGTAATAGACTTTGCTCATACTTGTCTACATGAGGCCACTAAAAGGCAAAAAAGGGGTCTAATCAGTCTTGAAGTTAAGCACACTTTGAGGTAGAAGACATAGTGATGGTGAATCTTCATTTGATTTCGAGACACAAAATTCTTTATAAGTAATGGTAAGCAATTGATTAAGTCAATTAATTTG